AAAAAAAAATTATCCAGGCATGGTAGCAGGTGCCTGTAATCCCAGCTACTCAGGAGGCTGAGGCAGGAGAATCGCTTGAACCTGGGAGGCGGAGGTTGCAGTGAGCCAAGGTCGTGCCATTGCACTCCAGCCTGGGCAACAAGAGTGCAACTTCGTCCAAAATATATATATTGTATTATATATATTTTTTTTTCTGAGTAGATCTCAACGGTGGACTTAAAATATCAGTTATCCACGCTATAAACAGATGGGCTGTCATTCAGTCTTATTGTTCCATTTATAGAGCACAGGCAAAGTAGATTTAGCATAATTCTTAAGACCCTAGGACTTTTGGAATGGTAAATGAGCATTGGGTTCAACTTAAAGTCACCAGGAGCACTAGCCACTAACAAGAGAGTCAGCCTGTCCTTTGAAGCTTTGAAGCCAGGCATTGACTTCTCCTCTCTAGCTATGAAAGTCCTAGGTGGCATCTTTTTCCAATAGGGCATTTTGTCTACATTAAAAATCTGTTGTTTAGTGTCACCAGCTTCATTAATAATCTCAGCTAGATCTTCTGAATAACTTACTTCTCCATTAGCACTTGCCACTTCACCTTGCACTTGTAGATTATGGGGACAGCTTCTTTCCTTAAACCTCATGAACCAAGACCTTCTAGCTTCAGATTTTTCTTCTGAAGCTTCCCCACCTCTCTCAGTCTTCACAGAATTGAAGAGAGTTAGGGGCTTGCTGTGGATTAGGCTTTGGCTTAAGGGAATGTTGCGGCTGGTTTGATCTTCTACCTAGACCATTAAAACTTTCTCCATGTCAGCAACAAGCCTGTCTCACTTTCTTATCATTGATGTGTCTACTGGAGTAGCCCTTTTAATTTCCTTCAGTAACTTTTCCTTTGCATTCACAACTTGGCTCACCTCTAGCTTATGGCTTTTTTTTTTTTTTTTTTGAGACAGGGTCTCACTCTGTTGCCCAGGCTGGAGTGCAGTGGTGCGATCACCGCTCACTGCAGCCTCAACTTCCTAGAACCAAGTGATCCTCCCACCTTAGCCTCCTAAGTAACTGAGACCACAGGTGTGTACCACTACACCCAGCTAATTTTTTAATTTTCTGTAGAGATGAAGTCTCCCTATTTTGCCCAGGCTGGTCTCAAACTCCTAGGCTTAAGCCGTCCTCTCACCTCAGCCTCCCAAAGTGCTGGGATTACAGGCATGAGCCACCATCCCTGGCCCTGTCTCAGCTTTTGACATGCCTTCCTCACTGTGTTTAATCATTTCTAGCTTTTAATTTAAAGTGAGAGGCATGAGACTCTTCCTTTCACTTGAGCACTTAAAGGCCATTGTACAGTTAGTTATACACTGACCTAATTTCAATATTGTTATGTCTCAGGGAATAGGAAGGCCCAAGGAAAGCAGGAGAGATGGGGGAATAACCAGTTGGCAAAACAGTCAGAACACACCCCACATTTATCGATCAAGTTTGCCATCTTCTATAGATGTGGTTCGTGGCACCCCCAAACAATTCCAATAGTCACATCAAAGATCACTGATCACAGATCACCATAACAGATGTAAAAATTATGTAAAAGTTTGAAATACCATAAGAATTACCAGAGTGTGACGCAGAGACGCGAGTGAGCACACACTGTTAGGGAAAAAAATGCCCTGATAGACTTCCTTGATGCAGGGTTGCCACAAATCTTCAATTTGTAAGAAACACAATATCTGCAAATTGCAGTAAAGCAGAGTACCATGAAATGAAGTCTGCCTCGGCCGGTGTGGTGGCTCACACCCATAATCCCAGCACTTTGGGAGGCCAAGGCAAGAGGATCCCTTGAGCCCAGGAGTTGGAGGCCAGCCTGGGCAACACAGGGAGACTCCATCTCTAAAACAAAACAAAACAAAACAAAACAAAGCCTGCTTGTATTTATTGGGTTTACTCTCAGTCTCCCCCCACAGAGAGACAGGGCCTGGCTTGTTATTAGTGCTCAGTTAATGTTTGTGAAGTGAAAAAGTAAGGACTTAGCCACTGCCTGTTCTTTGCTGTGAACACCTGACAGCTTTTATCTGCCAGCACAGAAGAAAACAAGGTGCAAGAAGAGAATAATGATCTCTAAGTCAGAATTTGAGGAACCCAAGTTAGTATCAGAAAGCTGGTAGGAGAAGAGAAAAATAAAGTAAATCAAATTAAAAGTTGAATGGGCCAGGTGCAGTAGCTCACACCTATAATCCCAGCACTTTGGTAGGCCGAAGTGAGAGGATCACTTGAGGCCAGGAGTTCAAGACCAGCCTGGGCAATATAGCAAGACCCCATCTCTACAAAAAATTTTTTAAATTTTCTGAATGTGTTGTTGTACACCCGTAGTCCCAGCTGCTTAGGAGGCAGAGGTGGGAGGATCGCTTGAACCCAGGAGATTGAGGCTGCAAGTGAGCTGTTACTGCACCACTATACTCAAGCCTGGGTGACAGTAAGTCCCTGTCTCTAAAAATAAAAATAAATAAATTCATTTTTTGTAAAGTTGTATGTCATGGCCCCTGCCTACTCTGGCTTCATGGCTTGCTGCTGAACCTCACCATCCAAATCCCAGTGGTGACACCATGTCATTTCTTGAATTTTCCAAGCTTCCTTCAGTCCCAAGCTCTCTGTCATGGCCGCTGTCTCAGCCTGGAAAGTTCTTTCCCCACTGGCCAGATTTCTCCTCATCTCTGGGAACTTGACTTGAAGTAGGGGGTATCCCTAGGCCCTGTACTAGTTAACACAACCTGCTGTGTGCCCCTCAAAACCATTGTCTTCTTAGCTGAGAAGGCATCACACCTGCAACAGATTCATTCATTGTGTGCATGTTTTTCTTAAGCACTTCTCTTCTGCGTCAGCTCTGTGGGGCAGGGATAGTCTCGTGTGTCACTCTACCCAGCATATAGGATGTGCTCAGACGCCCACTTGTGGATGGTGGAAAAGTAGGTCAGTCCAACCTAATATGCCCATCTCTCCTCTAGGAGTAATCTTGAGAAAAAAAAAGTTGAGCACAGGCTTCGTGTTAGTTTAGGATGACCCAGAATAGACCCTGAAACAAGAATTTAGGGCAATCCTTGTGCAAGTAGTTCATCTGAGAGGTGACCCCAGAAAGGGTTGGAGAGGAAGAGGGGAGGTGGGGCAAAGAAGGATGAGTTGTCCTGTGGGCATTTGAGCTCAGTCCCACTGGGAGCCCATGTGGAACTTACATCTTAAGTGATCTAGAATGAGGGGGAGGGAGCTGGGGTATTGATCCACCAACTCCCAGCAATCTTTAGTTGAGGGCTGCTCCCTTAAAGTTCATTCCCTGGGCCTGCCTCAGCTTTGGAGGAAGCCCTGAGGCAAGAGGTACAGATACCAGTTGGCCACAGACTGAAGTGTTAAGACCCAAGCCCCTGTATAAAACTGAAAAATCAAGCCAGGTGTGGTGGTTCCCGCCTGTAATCCCAGATACTCAGTAGGCTAAGACAGGAGGATTGCTTGAGCCCAGGAGTTCAAGGCTGTATCGAGCTATGATTGCACCACTGCATTCCAGCCTGGGCATCAGAGCAAGACCCCATGTCTAAATTAAAAATAAACTGAAAAATCCCCAAGTTATTTGCCAACCTTCCGTTAACCACAGACCCTCTGGTATTCGGCATTTCTTGTCCATTATATGAAGTTCTGATGACAATCTCTTTTATTGTATTGTGCCTTGACCACGCACTGTACATCACTTAGCTCTGAAATGGACATATTCAGGAAACAGGGCCAGGAGGGACCCTGCGTTTCAACAGCAATACTTTTACAAATGAGGTCTCATGACAGGGTCTTGCCCGGAGGGTTTCTACAGAAGCCTCCTCCCACCTACCACTATCATCCTTACTAACTTGCATTTACAAAAGGGACTCTTTTTGACTGGAGGCTTGGGGTCTGTAGCTGCCTTCTAGCCGGCTGATGCCGGCTGGTCCACACAGGCGAGATCACACCCATTTCTTTGTTTTCGTATTTATTTCTGAGTAGCACACACCTGTGTGCCTGGCATTGTGCTGACGACTTTTTATCAACTTACTGAATCCTCACAGCCCGTAGAGGTATTGATACTATTGTTATCTAGGTTATACAAAAGGGGGAAACTGAGGCACAGAGCAGGGACGTTCTTTGCCCAAGGTAACCCAACTGGAAAGTGGCAGAGCTGGGATTTGAACCCATGCAGGCTGGGCTCTTAACACTGAACTGCTTTCCTGCCATTTGTTAAAGAGCCACAAACCAGGCCAGGCACACGCCTGTAATCCCAGCACTTTGGGGGGCTGAGGCGGGTGGATCACCTGAGGTCAGGAGTTCACGACCAGCCTGGCCAACATGGTGAAACCCCGTTTCTACAAAAATGCAAAAAAAAAGTACCCGGGCATGATGGCAGGTGCCTAGTAATCCCAGCTACTCGGGAGGCTGAGGCGGGAGAATCCCTTGAACCCAGGGGCAGAGGTTGCAGTGAGCTGAGATCGAGCCATTGCACTCCAGCCTGGGCAACAGAGCAAGACTCTGTCTCAAAAAAATAAATAAATAAAATAAAATAAAGAGTCACAAACCCCGAAAGGTCTGTCATTCCCCCAGAGCCCCAGGCCGCCCCACAACCTATTGTCATTGTAGGTTGTGAAATATACTGAATGTCACCCTAACCATGAGCCATCGGGAAGTTTCCATTTCTCTCACCACAACATTTGTGGAACGTGAACCATCTGTTGGGGGTCTTCGTAAATCACCTTTTATCCCATGAGGCAGGTACTGTTAAGACCATTTTACAGGTGACAAAACTGAGGCCAGTGGTGTCGAGTCACCTGCCTGTGGTCACCCAGCCAATGTAAGACAACTTGGAATTCCAAGCACCCCCACCCTGCTGTCTGACCCCCGAAACCCACCCTCTATTCTCCATTCTGGCTTCTTTCTTTCAGCATCTTGGCGACAGTTGGGACGGAGTTTGACCTACGGACGCTGAGGGCAGTTCGAGTGCTGCGGCCGCTCAAGCTGGTGTCTGGAATCCCAAGTGCGTGAGTTTCCGACCCTGACAAGGGGTTTGCTCAGGGGCCCCAGGAGCCCTCAGTTTCCCCTGTGCAGAGCATCTCAGGAGGCCACACCCCACCACCAGCCTGTGTGAGGGCAGTCTCCTCTTTGGGACTCCCTGTAGGGGACCCCAAGGAACGTGACTGTAGCTCCCCATGAGCTCCTGAAAGCAAGCTAGGAGCCACGCCCATTTATTGAGCACCTGCTGTCTATCAAGAGCCATGCTAAGCACCACATGTGATCTCATTCAATGCTCACAGCCCTATGAAGTCGATAGGACTGATGTCTCTATTTTATGGAGGGGGAAACTGAGGCTCAGAGTGGTGGAAAAATTGGAGCAGGGTTTTGTGGCTCAGAAGTGGCAGAACTAGGAGCAAGTGTGACTCCAAGCCTGGGCAATGACCATTCCCATTTGCTGAGTGCCTGCTGTATACAGGGCACCGCAGGAGGACTTTACATGCATTACCTTATTTCATCCTCACAGTCATCCAGTGAACACCCATTTTACAGATGAGAAGGTTGAGGCTCAAGGAGGTTAAATTACTCACCTGAATTCTTACAGTGGACACTAACGAGCCCTAAAATTCATACCCATTCCTTGCTGCTTTCTCATGCTCCCCAGATGCATCTCCTCCCCCTTTAGGGGTGGCTGCCATATGCAGGGTCAAGATTAAGTATAGGTTGAGCCGAAAAACATGTAAAAAGCAAAAATAAAACAGGGCTGTCCTTTTTCTATCTTCTTGTCTTGGTTAATAATAATAATTTAGCCGGGCATGGTGGCTCACGCCTGTAATCCCAGCACTTTGGGAGGATCACTTGAGGCCACAAGTTCAAGACCAGCCTGGGGAACATTGTGAGACCCCCCCCCCATATCTACATTTTTTTTTTTTTTTTAAATAAGCCAGGTTGGCTGGGCACAGTGGCTCACACCTGAAATCCCAGCGCTTTGGGAGACTGAAGTGGTCAGATAGCTTGAGCTCAGGAGTTTAAGAGCAGCCTGGGCAACATGGCAAAACCTCGTCTCTACAGGAAAAAAAAAGAAAAGCAGGCAGGGTGGTGCACACCCATAGTCCCAGCTACTTAAAAGGCTGAGGCAAGAGGATCACTTGAGCCCAGGAGGTCAAGGCTGCAGTGAGCTGTGACAGCACCACTGCACTCCAGCCTGGGCAACAGAGTGAGACCTTGTCTCACAAAACCATACAACAAAAAGTTTAAAAACAAACAAACAATGTATAGGCTGGGTGCAGTGGCTCACGCCTGTAATCCTAACACTTTGGGAGGCCGAGGCGGGTGGGCGGATCACCTGAAGTCAGGAGTTCGAGACCTGCCTGGTCAAAATGGCGAAACCCCATCTTTACTAAAAATACAAAAATTAGCCGGGTGTGGTGGTGGGCACCTATAATCCCAGCTACTTGGGAGGCTGAGGCAGAAGAATCATTTGAACCCGGAGGGTGGAGGTTGCAGTGAGCTGAGGTCATGCCACTGCGCTCCAGCCTGGATGAAAGAATGAAACTCCATCTCAAAAAAAAAAAAAAAAAAAAATGAAACACACTTACTATGTGCCAGACATTATTCTAAGTATTTCCATTTTTTTAAAGTCATGTATCCTCCCAACAAACTTGTGAGGTAGTTTCTCTTATTATCACCATTTTACATTTTAGTGGCTTCGTTCTTCAGGCTCATTGCTACCCAGGTTTGAAGCGTAAGATTTCCCAGAGGATCCCCAGCAGGGTCTTTTCATAGAAAGAAGACACTTCTATCCAAGGTCTCTGCAAGATCTCGGCAGATGCCTGCATCATATTAAATGAAGGGCCATCCCAAATCTAATAGTCCAAAGAGCCAGGTGCAGTGGCTCACACCTGTAATCCCAGCACTTTGGGAGGCCAAGGTGGGACGATTGCCTGAGGCCAGGAGTTCAAGACCAGCCTGGGCAACAAAGCAAGACGCTGTCTCTAAAAAAAATACAAAAACTAGCCAGGTATGGTGGTGTGTACCAGTAACCTCAGCTATAGGATGGAGACTGAGATGGGAGGATCGCTTGAGCCTGGGAGTTTGAAGCTGCAGTGAGCTGTGACGGTGCCACCGCACTCAGCCTGGGCAACAAAGTGAGAGATCCTGTCTCAAAAAAAAAAAAAAAAAAAAAAAAATATATATATATATATATATATATATATATATATGTATATATATTATAGTAGCAATAGTAACAAGAGTCTCTGTTTAGTGACCACCTATGACTTACCAGGTACTTCACTGTGTATGAACTCTCTCATTTAATCCTGTGAGGGAGATACTATTCCAGATGGAGAAGCTGAGGTTTGGAATTCACTAGTAAGTGGATGACTATATCAAGTTCCCTTGAAGCGGGTACTTAGGTGGGTGTTCAGACGCACCCGCTTTATCCGGGCACGGCTCTCGGGAGAAACAGCACGAGGTCAGCAGGGTGGGGCAGGGGAATGGATAGAGCAGGGATGCAATTTCAGCTGGAATGTGTGTGACACCAGAGTTGTCCTCCAACGTGTGTGACAAGGATGCTGGCCTTTTGTACTTCTATGGTCAGTCACTGCGGATGGGAAGCAGAGATGCAGTAGCTCCCTGGTGAGACAGCTTTTGATCACCAAGGGCAATTCCACTAAGAAGAGGGGCAGCTGGGAGGCATTGGTAACCAACATCCATAGCAGCTGGAGGGCGGGTACACCAGAAAGAAAATGGGATCTTGGCCAGACACCAATAATATCCAGCACCTTAACCACTACACCACACTGCGTCTGTTAGCACCCACATTACATTTTTAAGCCCTTGGAGTGGCATGGCCCCTCAAGCTTTCCTGACAGTTTCCCTTTCTTACTGTGGTCTCCACCCATCAAGAGCCATGGGAAGTTTCTCCAATCAAGAAGCAAAGCTCCAATCTATATGTTTGAACCTTCATTTTGACCATAGACTTTCCTAATAGATAGCACAGTGGTTACAGGCATAGGATGTTGACATCGTTCAGACCTGCATTAATAGCCTTAAAAAAAAAAAAATGGTAGTGGAGCCAGGCATGGTGAAGTGTGCCTGTAGTCACACCTACTCAGGAGGCTCGCATGTGCCCAGGAGGTCGAGGCTGCAGTGAGACGTGATCATCCCACTGTATTCCAACCTGGGTGATAGAGCAAGCCCATCTCAAAAAAAAAAAGCCAATGATGGGCAAAGAAATACTAACTAAGGCTCTTGCTCTGTCGGCAGGCTGGAGTGCAGTGGTGCAATCACAGCTCAGTACAGCCTCAGCCTCCCCAGGCTCAAGCAATCCTACCATCTCAGCCTCCCAAATAGCTGGGACTCCAGGCACACAGCACCATGCCCAGTTAATTTTTTTTGTATTTTGTAGAGACAGGGTTTCGCCATGTTGCTCAGGCTGGTCTCAAACTCCCGGGCTCAAGTGATCCAACCGCCTCAGCCTCCCAAAGTGCTGGGATTACAGGTGTGATCCACCACTCCTGGCCAGCTATTATTATTATGAACATTCTTTGAGTCTTACAATAGTGGAACTTTTAGTGTAGGATGGGAATTTCAGTATTAACCCCTTCCTCTCCCAAAAGGATTTGAAGCCCAGAGTCATTCAACCACCATGAATGAACCATTTGTTAGATGAGAGGCTACTGGAGGCTGAGCTTGGTAGGATGAGAGCTTGCATGGGGTGCCTGATTGATGACAATACCCCCAGATTCAGGTCTTCAGATACCCACTTGGGTGTGTCTTCTGTTCCACTGTGTCCCTTCGGGGACTGTTCCCTGCCTTCTTTTTTTTTTTTTTTTTTTTTTTTTTTT